GTATGGTGGCTAACATAACAATAAAAAATTAAAAAAAAAAAGAAGCACCTTTGCAGTATCCCATAGTTTTTGAACTGATGTGTGTTCCTTTTCTTTGGTTTCCATGAATTGTTTCAGTTCTTTAATTTCCTGGTTGACCCAATCATTATTTAGCAGGATGCTCTTTAACCTCCAAGAGTTTGAGTTCCTTCCAAATTTCTTCCTGTGATTGAGTTCCAGGTTCAAAGCACTATGGTTTGAAATATTCAGGGAATAATCTCATTTTTTGGTAACAGTTGAGACCTAATTTGTGACCCAATACGTTCTCTATTCTGGAGAAATTTCCAGGTGCTCTCTAGAAGAATGAATATTCTGTAGTTTTAGGATGGAATGTTCTGTATCTATCTATGAAGTCCATCTGGTCCAGTGTGTCATTTACTGGATGACATCAAAGCCCTTTGTTTCTTTTTTGATCTTCTGCTAGATGATCTGTCCATTGTTATGAGTGGGGTGTCGAAGTCCCCTACTATTAATGTATTATTATCAATGTGTTTCTTTACTTTAGTTATTAATTGGTTTATATAATTGGCTGCTCCTATGTTGGGAGCATATATATTTACTATTGTTAGATCTTCTTATCGGATAGACCCTTTAAGTATAATATAGTGTCCCTCTGCATCTCTTCCTTCAGTCTTTCGTTTAAATTTTAAATTTTCTGATATGAGGATTGCTACCCCAGCTTTCTTTTGATGTCCATTAGCATAGTAAATTGTTCTCCGACCCCTCACTTTCATTCTGGAGGTGTCTTTAGGTCCAAAATGAGACACTTGTAGACAGCATATGGATGGTTCTTTCTTTTTTTATCCAAATTGATACCCTGTGTCTTTTGATGGGAGCATTCAGCCCATTTACATTCAGAGTAACTATTGAAAGATATGAATTTAGTGCCATTTTATTGCCTGTAAAGTCCATGTTTCTGTAGATTGTCTCTGTTATTTATGCCTATGTCACTCTTGGGGGTCCCTCTTTGCTTACAGTATCCCCTTTAATATTTCTTGCAGGGCTTGCTTGGTGGTCACATATTCTTTCAGTTTCTGTCTGTCCTGGAAAATCTTTATCTCTCCTTTCATTCTGAACGACAGTCATTCTGGATAAAGTATTTTTGGCTGCATGTTCTTCTCATTTAGTACCCTGACTATATCTTGCCAACCCTTTCTGGCTTTCTAGGTCTCTGTGGATAGGTTTGATATTATTCTGATGTTCCTCCCTCCATACATAAGGAACCTCATTTCCCTAGCTGCTCTCAAAATAGTTTCTTTGGCTCTAGGATTTGCAAGCTTCGCTATTATATGTTGGGGTATTGAGCTATTTTTATTGATTTTGGGAGGTGTCCTCTCTGCCTCTTGGACATGGATGCTTGCTTCCTTCCCTAGATTAGGGAAGTTCTCAGATATGATTTGCTCCAATATACCTTCTGGCTCTCTCTCTCTCCCCACACCCTCAGGGACCCCAATAATTCTGACATTGTTTCATTTCGTAGCATCATTAATTGCTCTAAGCCTTTCTTCATGGGTTATTAGTTGTCTTTATCTCTTTTCCTCAACTTTCCATCAGCTTGTCCTCTAGATTACTTATTTTCTCTTCTGCCTCATTGACCCTAGCTGTTAGAGCATCCAATTTCACTGCAGCTCATTTATAGCATTTTTAAGTTCAACCTGATTTTATCTCATTTCCACTCCCAGAGATTCTGTATTGTCCTTTACGCTTTTTTCAAGCCTATCTATTAACTTTATATTGCTACCCTGAATTCCATATCTGAAAACTTACTTATATCCATATCGATTAGCTCTGTGTCAGAGAACATTACCTGTGGTTCCTTCCTTTGTTGTGATTTCCTCCTTCTAATCATTCTGCCCATGCAAGAATGGGTAAGCGTATGAAAACAGTCCAAAATATCAACCATGACCCAAGCAAAATATACCCTAGAAAAAATCCAAAGTTGTCAGAAGCTAAGTGTCACTAACTATCAGGAAAATTCAAATCAAAACCAAAATGACATACCCCCTCACACCTGTCAGAATAGGTAGTATCAAAAAGACAAGGAATAACTAGTGTTTGTGAAGATGTGGAGTGAAGGAAATCCTTATGCACTGTAGGTGGGAATGCAAATTGTTTCATATTCTATGGAAAATAGCATGGATGTTTTTCAAGAAAAATAATAGACCTACCATATGAATCAGTGGTCTACTTCTAAGTATTTGAAAAACCAAAAACACTAATATGAACAGACACATGCATTCCAAATTAATTGCAGCATTTTTTATTACAATTGCCAGGATATGGAAACAACCTAATCTGTGAATAGGTAAATAGATAACGAAAGAAGTTACACACACACACACACACCATGAAATAATAGTCATAAGAAAGTATAAAATCTTGCCGTGTGTGAAAGTATGAATGGACTTAGATGGTATTGTGTTAAAAGATATAAGTGAGACAGAAAAACACAAATACCATATAATTTCACTTATATGTGGAAACTAAAAACAAAACAAATGAACAAATGATCCAGAAACACAATCATAGATGCAGAGAACAAACTGATGGTTGCCAGAGGTTAAGGGATGGGTGGACAGATGAGAAATGAAGGCCATTAAGAAGTACCATCTTTCAGTTATAAAATAAGACATGGGGATGTAAAAAGCAGCATAGGGAATATAGTCAATAATATTTTAACAACATTGTATGGTGATGGTAACTACACATTTTGGTGAAAATTTCTTAATGTATCACTATGGTGTACATCTGGAATTCATGTAATATGTTATGTCAATTATTCTTCAATAAAAATAAATGAATTGATTATGAATAATAAGCACCAAACCAGGGGCTCCTGGGTGGCTCAGTCATTAAATGTCTGCCTTCGGCTCAGGACATGACCCCAGGGTCCTGGGATCGAGCCGCACATTGGGTTCCCTGCTCCTCAGGAAGCCTGCTTCTCCCTCTCCCACTCTCCCTGCTTGTGTTCCTCTCTCACTGTGTCTCTCTCTGTCAAATAAATAAATAAAATTAAAAAAAAAATAAGCACCAATCCAGACTGCAATGCCTATTGTAAGCAATCTGCTAATGAAATTGATTATGCAACAAGCAGTGAGATTGCAAGAGAGAAAGAAATCTCACCCACTTTCCCAGCCAATCTGGTTCAATCCATTACTTACATGTCTCAGAATATATAATAAAAAACTGTGTCCTTAACTAAAAGAATTTGACAATACTTCTTGCTACACATCATTTTAAATCCATCTAGTAATCGGGGGGCTATCTGTGTTAGTTAATTGCTTCTATCCAAAAGAAGAATAGAACTTTCATGACAGATATCACAAGCAAGCAGAATTTGGAGTCATGTGTGTCTAGGTTAAACATACACAGTGACAGAGAGAAGGGAATACTATCATTTTTGATGTTTACATTTCAGACTGATACCCTTAGGTCTTTACAAAAGAAATATTTGAAGGTCAATACTGGAACAAAAGATTATGTAGCCCTCTAAAAGATTTAAAGCAGGCAAAATTTAATTTTTTTAAGAAATATATTTAACCTATGGTTCCTCATTATGCCTATCCTATTGTAATACTCTAGAAAATTTATGTTGTATATTGGATCTTATACTTATTTTCTAAAATGGGAAAATACATAAATAGTGTTGTATTTATTCTTTTTTTAAGATTTTATTTATTTATTTATTTATTTATTTATTTATGAAAGAAAGAGAGAGAAACAGCATGAGGGGGAGAGGGTCAGAAGGAGGAGCAGGCTCCCCGCCAACCTGGGAGCCCGATGTGGGACTCGATCCCAGGACTCCGGGATCATGACCTGAGCCAAAGGCAGTCACTTAACCAACTGAGCCACCCAGGTGCCCTGTTGTCTTTTTTCTTACTGTAAAAACATCATTTTTAAAAGTTTCACATCAATTTCATTATGTTATATAATATTAGGTAATATATGTTTTAAAGAAAGGAAATATTTGGTTGTTGCTGCTATAATTCTCAGTTTGTGCCTTTGTAATTAAATATTTAGGGGGAATTTACCATTCACTCAATTCATTAATCATTGACTCAATAATTAATTATTGATTGACAATATTTTCATCTGTTAAATGATAATATTTTATAACATATGGAATGCATATCACGGATAAAGAATGAGAGTTATATAATTTGAATTCCAACCTAGGCAAAGGGAAAATACTATTAAATTTTTATTAAGACTATATGACTCTTGCCCATTGGCATCAGGCCCTCTGCTATCTCTTACACTAACAGTGCATTTGTGTGTCCTTATTTTAGATCTGTTCATCAAATGGCTGCAGCTCACTAATTCAGTTAGCCTGGTCTACTTGTTTACCCATCAGATGGTCACAATCATGCCTGTCACAGTCTCAGTGTTGATTCCACTGTTTTCGAAATTACTTCCAGGGCAATTCCATGTGATAGGACCAAGAGCACCAGTCATTGCCTTGGTTGGGGAAGAGGCTGTGTTGTCCTGCCAGATCAGCCCATCAATGGATGCTCAGAACATGGAAGTGAGATGGTACCGGAATGATCCTCTAGGCCTGGTGCATCGTTATGGTACTTCCTGGAATGATATGGAGGAGCTGAGGCCAGAATACCAAGGGAGGACAGAGTTCCTGAAGGAGAATATTACCAAAGGGCATGTTGCTTTAAGGATCCATCCCATCCAACCTTCAGATGGAGGAGATTATGCATGTTTCTTTGAAAGTTCCACATACTACAATGATGCAAAATTCCAAGTGTTGGTCACAGGTGAGTCTCTGCAATGAAAACTCCAACACAAATTGTATTATTATTATTTTTTCCTCAGCAGTCTAAAGTATCTGTGTATATGGATAGAGGTGGCTAAATCTAGACAAACACTATGATGGAATGCCAAGAAGTTTAAATATGTAAAATTCATCTGATCATTCCATCCCAACATTCTTTGGCTGTAGTGAAAATATATTTATATTTGCATCTTTTCTTTGTCAACATCATTACTTTGAAGGAAAGAAAGAACAAGGGTTATAGTAGGTACTATCTCAGAAGAGTCCCAGAAATGTATCTTAATTTCTATTTGGAAACACAGAAGGAACTAAACAGAGGCAGAAAGAATCTCACCAACCTGCTATCAGGCTAGGTTTTCTGCATCTTGCTGCCCATTTTGGCAATCGTCCAGTCAAATGTGGTGATGCTGACTCTCAGTATGACATCCTTGTTTATTCAGATCCCTGCATAATTTTTCCCCTTAGATCTCACTCCCTCTCAGATATTTTCTGCAAACATACAAAACAACAAAAACATACAGACAAACAAACAAAAACTGTACTACCAGAATGAAAGGTAAGGATTTTAATTCAACCACACACTGAGCCATAGTCAGCATTTTCTCTATAAACATTATAGGGCCTTATACTAAGCTCAGATGATGAATTTCTCTATTGCCTCCTTTATAATGGGCATTAAGAGAAACTAACCCATCCATCAGATAGAGCCAATAATATTGACCTTCCTCCCAAAAGCAGCAAAATCTTCTCCTCCAGGATTCCCTGACCTATTTGAAATGTTCCTGCCTCCTAGTCAGTGATAATTCTGCATATGCCCTAAGTAATCCTTAATTGATTTTTACATAATAAAGGGTGGAAACTTATATAATTTTTCATAAAATAAAGGGGGGTATTGTGAAGATACTTGCTTGCAAGTTTTAAACACCTTTTTGAGTCAAAGTTTTTGTTACCAGACACTTTGATCCACACATCCCCTAAGAGATTTTCTGCAGAGTCAGGGAGAGAATAGTTGCCACCTTCTGAGAATTCCTTCCTGGGTCTGGAGAAAATCTGAATCATTAGGCAAGTATACTGGTGTTCCTCACTGCAGGACTCTATTGTATGTAAATGAATGTCACTCCCACTGGAGGCAATTTAACCAGGCACTAGGAGGGATGAATGAGAAATTATGCTCATCCATTCACTGAGATTTACCTTTAGAGCAGGGATCATTCACTCTACTGTGGTAACTTCTGAAGCAATCCAGGTTTTGGACATCCACTTCTAGAAGTCCTACAGACATGTCCTAAACCATGGGCAAACCCTTATAAGGGGCTTTGAATTTGAGAGCCCGTTGTTACTGTTGCTTCTTTAATGAACAACATGTCATTTCTCAGGATCATCTCAATTTTCTTTATCTCAGACTTACTTGTTTTTTGTACAGTTACCTTATCACTAAACAGAAAGCAACTTTCCACTATTCTTCCATTTTACCTCAGTTTCTTTAGAAGAAGGCATCTCCTATCTTGAAGCTATGGCCACTAAACTCTGACATTGTGCTTCTGCATGAGTTCATTATCAACTCCAACAATGGTTAATTGACACGCTTTCTAGAGTCTACTTTACAATCTCCTATATCTTGTAGAGGAGGTTAAGTGATACATCCTTGATTTTTCCAAATCATATATACAAGGGAAGTTGTACTTGTTACCCAAGCACATTTTTTTAAAGCTTATGGTGATCTTAATTTGCACTGTGGACATATATTACAAATAATAGCTATGAATTCAACCCACTTTTTACTAGGCCCAGAACATCCAAATAACTTTGGTTCACTTTTTCATGTTTCTTGTGGGTAATAGAAATATCTGGATTTTATATTCCAACTAGGTACAATATTTGCAGATGCAACCATTCACACTGCACCCATGGGATGATTCCAAATTAATGAAAAGAGATGTATTTTTGATTTCTTAGGAAATTGTATCTCCATCTGGCCTATTATAATATAAACTTGTATATAAATATTGACATAAGTGATCACAAATATGTTCTGAAGAATCCAGATTTTTTTAAAAGACTTCTGTTCTCCCTAAATGTAGGGTGTTGTACTTTGAATATTTTCCAAATGGGCAGGATTTTTTGCCACATTTTGTGGATTAAGGGGGGCCATCTCATTTTGTACCTGCTATCTTTAGTCATTATATATCATGAACATAAAGTCTTATGTTGCACAATGCTCTTACCTCCTTCAGGTGAATTATTTATGACCTTGTCTTATTTTTTCTGGGTTGGACCCACTTCTGTCCAACACCTATACCTAATGCAAAGTAGTGTCTGATGGTTTGTGCCATTAGGAGTTTCATCTGTTCCAGATCTTCAGACAGAGCCGTTAATGTTCTCTAGCAAGAGACCTCGTGTTTCCTTCTGATTCCTTTAGTTACTGTGATTTCTGGCATGCATTTCTTTAATCCATTTCTCCATTCTGGAGGAGTGACATTTGCCCCCAAATGAGTGACCAGTTCCTGATAGAGATGCAGTCTCTGCAGGCAGCTCCACAGTCCTACATTATCTCCTACAGAAAAGATTCTTCAATACTCTCCATCAAAACAAAAAAAATTCATTCCATGTGCTGTTTAAATATCCAGGGGGTTGTGGGTGATAAAATTTCTGCAGAACCCAGAACTTCAGTGAACACAAACACTAAATTCTACTTAAAATCAATAATCATCCTTGCCCTCTACTATCTAGTTGAACACTTGCAGGGTACAGGTAAGCAAATCCATCAATCAATAACTACAAATTAGGGCAACCACAAATATAGATTGCAAACTTTTTTTTAGGATTTTATTTATATATTTGAGAGACAGAGAGAGACACAGCAAGAGAGGGAACACAAGCAGGGGGAGTGGGAGAGGGAGAAGCAGGCTCCCCATGGAGCAGGGAGCCTGACACGGGGCCTGATCCCAGGACCCCAGATCATGACCTGAGCCACCCAGGCACCACATAGATTGCAAACTTAACCAAAATATTTTCTAACTGATAAGAAATAAAACTGAAGGCCCTGATATTAGGTGAAATAATCTTGTAATGGTGGACACTATAGGTTTTCTCTCCCTACGCTGGCCATAAGACAATGAAAACCCAGTCTCAAAATGGGTAAAAAATGTATATAAGCCAGGCCTCAAGTATGCCAGTTGGAAACCCACAATATTAGGAGAACCATGGTGAGTCCAAATTTCTTTCTGTTTATATAGACCCCATTCCCTTTGGAATAGGACCCACCCTAATCCAGTATAATTTCCTCTTTACTCATTACATGTACAAAATGGTATCCAAATAAGGGGATGGGTATTGAAGGTTAAGACTTGAACATATTTTTTCAGAAGACACAATTCAATCCACAACAGGGATAATTTTATCCTAGTAAATTTGATCTTTTGTTGTTGTTGTTGTTATAAACTGTATTAATTACTCAGCATAATACTTTGTGGACTGCTGCACTGCTATTCGCTGAACTTCAAAAGACAGTAGTTTAAACCAGAGCTGCTCCTTTCTCAGGTAAAGGGGGGAGGGAGCCCAGAACTGGAAAAGTGGCTAGACACCATGAGGTTTACACATCTTATCTTGATGTTTTGCCACATCCACATAATCCACTTTTGAAGATGACTCACAGACACTGTGTTCTCCAGCCCTTGAGAAGAGAGAAAGAGTGAAAGGAAAGGTGTATCTCCTTCCTTTGAGGGAAATATTCCAGAATGCACATATATCATTTTCATTTCAAACACTTCCACCAGCATATCAAAGCCACTCCTAACTGTAAGGGGTTTGGAGGATGCATTCTTAACCTGGGCTGACATATCAACTGTTAAAACTTATATTGTTCCCCAAATTGTTCTATGCAAAATGATGGCTACTAGTCACATGTTGCATTGAAATTTAAATGTAGTTGATATACATTTAATTGACTAAAATATGAAATTCAGTACCCTACAATATTCAGGTACTCAGTAGCGACCCATACCTAGTTCATTTCCACCACATTGATATTGGTAGCGTTCCCAACATCATAAGAATTTCTTATCAAAAATAACATCTTTAAAATTAGGGAATAAAAGATATTTGGAGAATGACTAGCAATTTGTCACAGAAAAATACCAATTGATGTGTGCCTTTAGCTTTAGAGTTTCCAAGTGATTTGATAGATGTTTTTCCACCCAACTTTAAGAATCATCAGATAAAATAATCAGTAATGTTTCAAAGCGGAGAGAGGAAAAATGAAAACAATAACAGACATGCTGGGCATTTCGGTACTTTGTTAAATGTCGATACAGCTGATTTGTTTTCTCCAAAATTCTTTGGACTAGATAATTTTCTAACCTCCACTTTTACAAATAAGGAAATTGGGTTTCATAGAAGTTAATTAAAATGTAAAATGGCAACAAAACACTTGGGGAAGTGTAATCTCTCTGTCTCTCCTTGGCTATTCTAGTCTCAGGTATGGCTCCTCATATTCACATTGAACCTGGAAATGGGAAGGACATTAAATTGACCTGCACATCCATGGGGTGGTATCCAGAGCCTGAGCTGCAATGGAGGGACCATCAAGGACTGCACTTGGCACCAGCCTCTGAGAAAAAGAAAATAGAAGAAAATGGACTGTTTCATGTGAAATCATCTCTCACAGTGGACAAAAGTTCAAGAGCAAAATTGTCCTGTGTTATAAGGAACCTAATACTCAATGTGGAGAAGGAAGTGCATGTTTCCATGGCAGGTCAGTTCCCTCCAAAGGCAGTATCTTGAGATATCACTGCTATTTGAGAAGATCTTACAGACAAATACCTATGACTGATGCATCTAGATGAATGTTCTAGTTATCCATTTGTAACTGTTAGCATGGAGAACTTGTGAAAATCCATATTTTGTCTTGTTTTGTGTTTCTTTTTGTGATAGAAATGTCATTGTCTTACTTTATAAAAATGAATATGTGAATGTGCAAAAGCA